TACATGATGGAGTCGACGTAAGCGATTTGGCTGAAAAGTGAAACGACGCCTGTGTCTTTCCGTTCGGTTTGCTCGTTCGGACAGTGAACGGAACAGTGTTTGTGATCCCAAACATTTGCAAATTATTATTAAAATTACGTGAATAGTCGATGTTGTTGGCTTGAACCAAAACTACCATCTTCTTCGCCGTCACCGTTGCTGCTGTCGTCGTCGTCGTCGTCATCGTTGTTCACATTATTTTCGAGGTGTAAGAGAGAGAGAGAGAGAGAGAGAGAGAGAGCGCGCAAGCGAGTGAAGTTACGGAATGAGCGAGAATACTGTGTTTTACAATGCATAAAACATCAGGCACAAAAGAAGCGAATAAAATGCAGAAGCCAACAAAAAAGTGCTAAGCTTTTGGGTGAATTCACACATACACGAGCTTGGACAGCAGCAGTCGTAGTCACTGCCACAAACTGCCCTAGAGCCTTCATCACCGCAGCCCCGAAATCGTGTAAGAGATGGCTGAGCTAGTTTCAAAGTGAACGCAGGCGGACACAGCTCTTCGATACGGAAATTTACACAACATCGGAGACAGAGAAAGAGACTGAGAGAAAGAGAGAGAGAGAGAGAGAGAGAGTGGAGCACAAAAAGGGGGAATCAACAAAACTAGAAAGAAAATTGTACGTAAATTCAAAAGCAAACATGAGAACCAAGGAAAAAAATTATATTTAAATTAATAAAACGTAATGGAAGCAATTTTTTGTTCGTGCTCTCTCTCTCTCTCTCTCTCTCTCTCTCTCTCTCTCTGTCTCTCATCCAGTGGTGCTTCTTTTTATGTGCTTATTTTCATTTTCTGCCCAAGCTAATGGTAATACACATAGCACTGTTAACATCTACATTTATGAATTTACAATAGAAATACATTTGCATTTCTCTTGTGAGACTCTTTCTTTGTGGCCGTTCCTTGTTCGCTTAAAAATTCGTCGGAATTAATTACAATTTGATAAAGAAAATTTCTATGGTATTTTTACATTATTCCAGCGGGTTTTTTTTCTCTTTCTCTCAGAATCATCCACGTATTCTTTCGTCGACTATGTTAATGTGTGTCGACCTCGGTGGCCTAGCCAAACACAGTTGGACGCGTGTATTCACTTTTTAGCAATAAACGAAGAGGAAAGTGTGTCCATTGCGTTGACTCCCCAGAATTTTAATCAAGCCAAAATTTTCATCAATTTTCTTTCACGTAGCAACACTTCAATAACTCTCACTAGACGAATTTAAATTCAGTTAAGAACCATATGAAATGATCGAATGTTTGCACATTCTCAATTGTCATGGCATTTTGTTGGGAAATTCGTATAGCGAAACTGAAATACTTATTATTTTAACAAAGTCTATGTCCTAATTTCCACAATACATCCGACACCATACACAATTGCGACAAACAATGGCGAGTCGATAGAATGAACTCCGAAATTCGTCGAGTGTAATTATAATTTCCTTATTTCGTCCTTTTCACTTTGCGGCTTCTTGGCCGCGCTGTAGTTGGACGAACAACATCGCAATGAGTGTAACCGCGCTCAGTACGTATCGCATTCAAAATAAATAACAAATGGATGGCAACACCACGAGAGAAAAAAATGCGTGTTAAGGGAGCAGTATCGAAAATGGTCTAACACAAAAAATGCCCCCTCATAAATCAACCAAAATGTTTTTGAATTAAACAAGATACCAAAGTTATTTGCATGCCATTGCTGTGTGCGATTGTTGATGTGGTGGCAAAGATGATTCAAGCTTTGTTTCGAACTTCGAAGAAAAAATGTCTCTTTCATGCATTGTATTCACCTAGGTATTCACAGAGTGAAGTGGCAAAGCTTCTTTTTTCAGAGAGAGAGAGAGAGGAGGTGAAATGTCGTATCTTATGTGATGGTTTCTTAGTACCTTCTCTGCAAGGCAATTGATTTTTGCATTGTACACAGTATTTAGCTGAGTGAAGTGAAAGTTGCATTTAGTTGGACTTGCAAAATCCTCCGGGATCATGACAACGATAGAGAGAAAATGTTGTGACTGCACCCATTTCAAGAAGTTGTCAAAATGGAAAAAGTTCGTCGCTCGAAGCGTATTCAGGGAGATGCGTGAATGTTTGAGAATGGTTTCGGTTTCGCTTCTCTCTTTTTTTTTGTCATCTTAATTGGCAGCCAGTAGAGTAACCACATTTATGCGGTTGAAATTTTGAAACCATCATCAACGTTAAATCCATATCCATGCAATTATTGGTGGTATATATGTGTGCTGGCAGAGTACAGTGGATCAACAAACATCCAATGGATACGGATGAAAACTCAACCACTAAACGTAATTGCAGCATGCGTACGTGAACACACACACATCCATATTGCATGTTGATATAACAAACTAACAACAACCATCTCTCTATCTACAACAAGTAAAACTGAAACTGCACCATAACGTCAATAGATTGGCATGGATTGGCATGGATCGGACTTCCATTAAATGTGAGCACAGTGTAACGTACGAGGACCTGGGAAAAAGAGAGTGGCAGAGTGAGCGTGTATGTGCCAAAAACATCTATGTGCACTGTGCAGTGTGCACCAAGCAATTAGTTTTCGATGAAATATTAAAAAGTTTTTCAGTTAATATTCGGTAGTTAGAGATAAAGTGCGATGAAGACGATGAACAAAAACGGACATGGTTGCCTGATAATACCAAGGTAGAAGAAACAGTTAAGCTTCCATCATCATGAACAATTGCAAACGATTGAGCGGTTCCACATTCCGTGAGCTCTTGTGTACCGTCGAATGGATCGTGATTTGATGAGACTTAATTTAGATTGAATGTGTGGTTTTGGGCACGGCACATGAACAATCTCGTTAGAATTCGCATCGCCTTTCGACAACGAAATAAGTCTCAAATTGCGAATATTCTGGCAATTCGGGCGCTTTTGCCAATGAATTGATGCTGTTGCCAAAATGTTCATGAACAAACTCACCCATAACTTTTCGCATATCAACGAAGTGTTCGGTAAATTGAGCACAAACACAACCATTTCATATATGATCTGTTCCAACACACACACACACACATAGATACAATATTTTCCACGCTGTTGGTGAAGATTCACGCACGCACCCAGCAAAATTCGAATGGAAAAATAAGCAAAAAAAACTTGTATAATTAAATTCTCTGTCTCTTTCTTGTGAGACGATGGCATCTCATCGCACACACATTCGAAGCGAACGTTAAAGGTGCAACATTCAGCAATACCGAACATAATATTCTATATAGATAGATAATATTCGATGGGGTCTGAGCCATTTGTTTTGTTATGTGTGCATAAAACTTTTATAACATAATAAATCCAATGGGCAAAATTGAACGACGAACTTCCCCGGCTCCTTCGGAATGTATCTCGCCACGGATGAAATTTATGAAAATCAAAGATACAAGCCAGCGACCGGTCACGTAAAATTATAACATAATTGCCATTTATATGCAAAAAGTTCACCTTAAAAACTGTACACTCCTATACAACATATATACAGAATATCATTTTATGATTGTGTCGACCAATTCATTCGAAAAATTTACGACACATCCAACCGGGGCCAAAATGAGTAGCAGCTCTTTTACGTTATCTGTGTACGAAGAAAATTGTGTTCAATTTGGTGTTCACCTTTAATTATCTCTTGTTATTTCATTTTGAAACTGTATTCGTTCGATTTGTCCTTACCTGTTCGATGTACGACACTGGAACCGGATCGATCTCGATTGAGTTTAATTTTGCCTCGTTTTCTCTACTCTTCTTCAAGCAAATATTTTTTTCACCATCATCAGCAGAATCACACTCAGTGGACGAAACAATTTCAATTCAAACTCTCAAACTCAAGATGAAATGGTATGGAATAATGTTAGCCTTTTAACAATTGCACAAACGTAGGGGAGAAAAAAATTGCTGTTACAGCTCTTGAGACTGTGTGCACTTTTTCCGTGTGAATTGTAATTGTCGCGTATAACAAGTAACACTCAAATAAGTACAAACGGACAATTTAACACGAACTCATGGAACAAACAGAAAATATTTGGCCGGCGCTTATGCAAGTTGACACATCAACCGGATGTATCGTAAAATGTATACAATAGCAAACGGTAGATGTATAATGGCAAGAAAAATTGCGATGCAATCGAATTGTAGCACATAAGTATGGTTGAAATAACGAGACGAGTAACATTTCGCTCGATTTTTCAAAAAGCAAAAAAGCCTTTTTGCTGGTAACTTACATCTTTCTGTTGTATTATTGCAACAAGTTCGATTGAATTGATGTGCTGATAGACAAAGTTTCGACAGTGGAAATTGTTCATGCTGTTTCGTGGAATAGATTTGATTTTTGTTCAGGCCGAAACTTTTCCCATTCAATTGCTAATTGAGCTGACATTTTCCCATTAGATTTTCATCTAATTTTCCCATTAGATTCTTCTCCGATGATTTGTTGAATGAACTTGAAATATACTTTGCTAATGAAACCAGATAGAACCGTATGACTTTTTTGTAACTGAAATGGCTACTGAATCGGTAACATTGTAATCTTTATGACATCGCATTGTCGAATACAAACCCAATGAAAATTCTTGATATCATATACCGAATCGCATTCTATCATTTCGCACGCTCATTCACTCAGTCACCTATTGAGCTCTCGTTTTCGAGTCAAATGAAATTCGGTTGTTGGATTCCATTGCTGGCGCTATTGTTTTCACCGATTTGATTTCATGCGTTCTTACGCCTAGATGCGTAGATATTTGATGGCTTGTGTCGCGGTTCAAAAACAAAGAAACACCTACCTATACACATTGTTGTGGAGTGTCTGCGAAAGCGAGCGCGAACGCCTCCTCCGTTCGTTTGTTCGTTCGTTCGCTTCATAAAACCAAATTACTGTTTTGCGATCCATTTATGGCTGTTTTCGGTTATGTTGCCAATAAAAATGAAACATGAAACTTGGTTTTATGCTTAAATTTTATTTATTATTCGTAAAAAAAGGACACAATTTAGTTAAGTTATTATCTAAAATGTACAAAACTTAATTTAGAGCTTCATTTCCGTTGGAAAATACGTCAAGTAAAGATGTATATTTTTTCTTGCTTTCTTTATTTCTCTACTGCTTGCTCGTATTTGGGGTGTATAATTCGTGTATATGTATGTATGTGTGTCTGTAGTTCGGCTTGGCACAGCCAAAAATTCGATTTTCGGTGAATTTAGACGAATCAGGCCATAAATTTGTGTGTACTTGACAGGTCGGAAAGAGTGTAAAATGTGTTTGGCATTATGGGATTTTAAGAAAATTTTACAATTCGAATAACTTTTAATAAAAAAAAGTGCACACAGAGAGAGAAAGAAGGAAAAGAACAGACACACAGTTGATTTTATGTTTATTCTCCCATTCTCTTCTTATGGGATTTTGGCTGAGCCATTCGGTCATCATTTTCAAACATATAGTTTATAGCTTCGAAGCTGTTTTTGCCCTTTCCACTCTCCCTTTCCCTCACAATCTACTCCTTATCGCGCGTCATTCATTACAACGAGAGCCGAATATTCTGCAATAAACCGAACAACCGACGCGCCCCAATAATAAACGAAACGAAAATTTCACAGCGAAAATATGCGTTCATGTAAAATAAAACAAAAAATGCTCCAATACCCACACACACACACACACACACTCTCACTCTCGAATTGGAATAATAAAAATGATTAATGACACCGGCGTCAATGGAATAATTTTACGTGAATTTCTTTTCGCGTCTATTCAATTCTCCATACGCGTTGTTAGCTTACATATGTAGTTGAACTAAAAGGCTATTTAGTTATTCTATTGTGTCTCTACGCAACACACCGTCTATTTTTATTATTAGGCTAAAAGTAGGCATTCTGCCTATTCGCTGCGATGTGAATTTTTTGCGGTGCTGCACGCGGGTTGAGAAGTGCTGAAGATTGAATGTGGGAAATGAGAGAAAGAAGCAACGAAGAAAAAAGAGAAAAGGAAGGAAGTGAAGTGCAAGTGCCAGCCGTTAGTGTGTAAGTTAGAAGCCATTTGTCGATTAGACGGAGTGTATCTCTCTCTCTCTCTCTCTCTCTCTCTCTCTGTGTGTGTGGCAACAACACGGCGTCAAGCAGGCAGGCTCTAACAAAAATTCATCACGTATTTTCCACTGTGATGGTTCAATTTTCTATCAACAAATTTCTGCTTCCGTTCAATTCGAGCGTTACGTTCTTTCTCATTCTCATTCCCACTCGCACTCTTTCTTCCATTGTCTCGCACGCAAATTTCAACATATACACACAGCACATTAGCTGGTTGGCACATTATGCTACCAACATTCCTTGTATTGTATGTGCATTGTTGCTTAATCCAAATTGATTTGAGCATTGGCTGGAAATAAATGCGGCTGCTTCGCTTTCTACCAAATCATCATCGATGGCATTAGAAGCAAACGGCGAACAAATCAAGTAAAGAAAAAAAAAACAGAAATAATAATTTAAAACTAAAATACGTATGCACTTAACATCTCTACAATCATTAATTCTTAAATAAAAATAAAGGATATCATAGTAATTATTCGATTTGATCAAATGGATAATTTTGTTGATTATGCTACGGAATAGAAGAAATAAAAAGGAAAGAACCTAGAGCAAAATTATTGTGTGTTGCACGAGCATGACGATCGCCTGCACAAAGTGGCATTGCTGACAGAGAAAAAGTTAGTGGAAGACATTTAAACGATTAGATTCGTTTGGGTTTTTTTCTCTTCTCACTCTTTCTCTCGTCACACACACACACTCTCGTTTGTTTATTCGGCGGTGTTTTTTTCGCGCTGGAAATTGTTACTGCTGTTTTTGTCACTTTTAAATTGCTGTTTCATAACGTCTTTCTTACTCTTTCGCTCTCTTGCATGCGCTCTTTCTCTCGCTCTCTCTCTCTCTCTCTCTCTCTAGTGATTGCACGTTCAGCGTGTATTTGCTGTATAAATCCAGCCGCTATTTTCCATCATTGCAAAATGCTTTGTCGATGTTACTGTGTTTTCTTTCGCCTCAGGAGCGCATCATAAAAATAATGGCGTTTGTTTGCTATGAATGAGTGCCGAGTAGCGATGTAGACGACGAAACGGGGAGTTATTTGTAAATGGGTGCAGGCGGACAGGGATGTGTGTATGTGTGTGTGTGTGTGTGTGAATACACTTTTCACAGCACGTATTCACGGCAACATTGATGGCGCGCACAATTTCGATGGAAATCGATTTTGCCAGTTCAGCAAGTGGAAATGATCGAGAAATGTTAACTTTTAATACATGCATTATTTAATTGATTTTTTTTCTCTATCTCGCTCACTCTTCGTCGATCGTTTGGGCTATAGCAATTACAAAAATGTAAAGTTTCAACGTTAAAGGTCTTCAGGTTAAATGGGCTGCATGTCAACACTTTCGTGAAAGTTAAGGCGTGGAAAAAATGAAGGAAAAAAAAATACGATATGACATGAGTAAACAATGAGCTGTTTTTTTTGGCCTCGATGCATACCCGACCGGCAATGTATTTTCATAACAATATATGGATTTATGCCTTATATGAAGTGTGAAAGACTGACTGTGAACTCAATCGTTTAACATAATAAGAACGATAATATTAAATCAAAATTCATTTCGTTATGTTTGTACGCGCAGAGCACATTGCCTTTTCTTTTCGTCTCATTCGGTTGGTTGATGTTGTCTACGCGATTCGTGTACAAGAATGTGCGGATGCTTAATTGTTTTCAGCTCATTGAATTTCACTTTGTGTTGTCAATACGAGTGGAAAATATTGCGATGGAATAGTGCGACACGCTAGAGATGAGAAGAAAAACAACACATATTTGACGAGAGTGAGAATATGAACGACACACACACACACACTCACACATAAGCTGACGAGCAGAAAGAATGAGAGAAAGACAACCATCAGCAACATGTAGAAAATCCGATGCTATAATTTGATGTGCGATGAGAGAGAGATAGAGAGAGAGCGAGAGCGCAAAACTGAACGAATTTTTTTTGCCGAATAAACAAATGGAGTGACTACGAGTATGTGTATAGCAATGCAGAGAGACAATGTAGCGCAATGCTTGAATGGAACGCAAAACATCTCTTTTCATTCATCGCACACACGCAACAAAAATACTAAGACAATCGAGCGTATGCTTATGCCTTGTGTATAACGGTGAATGCGAAAGGACGATCCAAAACGAAACGAGAAGTAAACATACAACATTTTTTGGGCTGGCGAAAAAAAAACTTTTCAGATTATTTGATTCGTTTTTTTTTGTTTCTCGTACGTTTATGTGCATTTCACTGTCACAATATTAATGCTAAATCGTTTTCAATGCTTTTCGCTAAATTTCCTCTTTACGCCGCGCGCTATTACTTCCACATAATATTGTGTACGACTAACAAATAAACTGCATGTACTCATCGAAAAATAGGGAAAAGTTATAGGGAGAACAGAACAAAAAAATAAGTACAGATTCGAAAATATAGCACCAAAAAGCACCCCATATATCTATTTTATTTACACTTAAAATATATCTAAAGGAAATTTTGCGAAATGAAATGAAAAAGGGAAATAAAAATGGATTCGCAAACCACCACACGACTCTTTTGCTTTTCCATTACCTTGCTCGCGCGCAATCTCTCTCTTTCTCTTTTCCCTCGAACTTTTTCACTTTTCCGTTTTCTCTCTTTCTCTTTCTAAGCCCAGCGTTACAATAGAGCTTACGGTGGAATGATAAATTTATTCAGTGACAAATTACTATTCAAATAGGAATTGAAATTTCGGTGCACGAAACTCGCACGTAAAACAAAAAGTTTGCATTCGTAATTTTCCAGTTTAATGTGAACGGGGAACAGGACAATGGAAAGTCGTGATGCAGAAGATGAAAAAATGGGTAAACAGAAGCAGGTTTTTGGCATCTGACTTCCTTTTTTCTTGTTGTGGTTGTTGCAGTGAATAATTCGGCAATTGTTTGAGATTCCTAATTATTTTCCTGTTTAACGTTTTTAACCAGTTTGAGATTGCGTCGTTTGGTTTTTCAAAGTCAAAATGACATAATGAATTACAATATTCGAGGGTGTGAGTTGGAGTTGTTATTCTCTTATAATCTAGTTTCATGGACAGCAAACATTACATGTCAATCATTTCGATTCTTTTTTTTTCTTCAAAATTATTTGATATTGTAAATTGCCATGTGTTTGGTATGTGCAATTTGACATGAAATATGAGTTGTAGTTACATCAGATAGTGATGTGTGTTGGAGACAGTCGTCGGCAACATTGTATACGGGTTGAATTTGGTGATTGTGTGTATGTTGTATGCAGTTAAGCCGGTATTGTGATGATTCTGCTGTTGCACTTCTAATTTGTGTGAACATAATTTAGTGACAGGATTTGATTGCAAATATGCTTAGCCTATACTACTAACTCTGCACCGTCTCTCTCTTTCTCTCGCTCTCCTCCTCACTCGTTCACTCCTCTTTCTCTCGAAACTGACTACAGTAATTGAATATGATTAACCGACAAAGGGAAATTGTGCGTACGGAGCTGGGAAGTAGCCGGGAAATGCGGCGGCCGTTGGTTGAACGATCGGTAAGGATTGTGTTACATATGTGGTTAAAATGGTTGGAACAACGTTCGTCGAAAAAAGTGTTGTGTACGCTGTTTTCGCGCCGAATGTTAATTTCAAGATTTTACTTTTTGTTTCGGTGACCATCGTTTGCGTTACGATTGGAGCTGTTGTAATTTGGAATTGTTGCGGTTGCTGAAATAGTGGATTGATTGGTGGCGGTGGTATTGGCAATTGAGGCAATACTGATGTACCAATCTCGTATTCGGTTTTGCTAACGGTGGCAACAGGTCGGGATATTGTACTAAATGTAGTCGATAAACCGTTGAACACGGGTATTGTGTGCGATTCGTACACGGTTTCAAGTTTAATGACCGGCTTTGATGTGGTTATTACGCTGGGGAATTGAGCCGCTGCAGCCGGATTCAAAAAACGTAGCAATGCCAATTGCTCAGGACTCAAATTTTGCATCAACGGATCCGACGATACTGATGTCGGCTGTTGTTGTTGTTGTTGTTGCTTTTCAAGCAGCGACGGAGTGACTGATTGTTCGGTTGGTGGTTTATTTGAAATTTTCTTCTTTGGACGCAAATGACCTTCTGGAATGTTTGATTTATCTACTTCGGATAAATCAAACGATGAACCAATATTGGCCAAATCCAAATCGTCGGGTAGCTCATGTCGTACCGCATCCTCTTCATCATGCTCATTATCATCGCCGAAATCCAATTCCAAATTCAACTCCGAACCGGCTTCATCCAATTTACTGTTGAATTCCTTTAGTGCTTTCGTTGGATTGAAATGATATGCGTCAATTGGTGGAAGAGTTTTTGTGGCTGTGACGATACGTGTTACCAAATATGTTTGGGTGAGTGTGTAGCTGGTTGCATTGCCACCGCCTTGATGCAACACCGGCAATATATGTGTTTTGAGCATCGTTTGTGTTGTGCTGAATGTTTCGGTAAGAGTTTCAAGTGGTGGCGTTTCAATGTCAGATGCCAAAATGAGCGGCGGCAATGTGGCAATGCTTGAGTCCAGTAAATTATTGTCACGATCATAGTGTGCGGTTGTAGCGAGAATATTTTCAGTTAACGGCCCCGTAATTGATGAGGTGACGGTCGGTTCAGGGTCTAGTGTTTTCTCGAATGTCGATGTTACGGTCACATATCGAGTGTTTCGAACAGATCCAACCTGGAAAAAATAATGGTTTTTTGTTCATATTCATTTAAGTAAAAAAAAATTAATTAAACAAAACAATATTTCGCAAAGAATTAGACAATTCACTTTTTCTAAGCTCACCTGATAAGTGTATGGTGATTTTATGGTGGCAATTTCGTAGTAAATATCTTTGAAATCGGCTGGTGTTGAGATTTCCACTTTTAACGTTTCAACGGGCAATTTTTTGCTCACAATCGAATTGTCCAGTGTTTCGGTATCGTCAAGAACGTCGCCGTTCACCGATCCGGATGAATCGAGATCGGTGTCGGTGTCGGTGACGGAATGTGAATTGGCTACCGCGACTCGATCTTGTGCATCGTCCGGCACTTGGCTTTCGCCATTTTGCTCTTCATCGGCGTGATATACAGGCGATTCATGTGCTGGAGTCACAGCCTCGACATGCGGTTGCAAATCGTCTGAGCTTTGCTTTCTGATTGTGACTCGCGGTTTTGGTGAAGTTTTATATTGCCAACGACCTGGTTGTCGGTTTAATTTGAACTTGTAAAAACTGGATGTTGTTTCTCGGTCTTGTTGCTGTTCAACGGCACTGGGTTGAATTTTCGGTTTGAAGCGTCGTGTATAGCCACCGTCATTGTTTGAGTCTTGTTGCTGTTGCTGCTGCTGCTGCTGCTGCTGCTGCTGTTGTTGTCGTTGTTGCACGCTTGATTCTTTCAGCGGTGCATTTTGTGGCTTGAAGCGGTTAGCTTTGTTCCGACGATTTACATAGGCAGTCGACGTTGATGGTTCACTAAATACAGCCGACACTGTGGTTACTTCAACACTTCCTGATGCGGGTCGATTAAAGCGGCCACTGTGAGAGAACGAAAAGAGAGGGAGAAGGAGAGAGATTAAATTTTCTGGGCTGTGGAGAAATTCTCATGGGAAATCGTGTTGAATTTATTACACGTATTCCGAAGCGTTCATACCTTTTTGGGGATTTGTTTGTGTTACGATTTTTCTTGTAAGATGATGGAGTGACAGCGGCTGGTGTTGTAACTTCAACCGAAGCTGATGATGATCCATCGGTGTATTCGGTGTCCTCTTTTTGAGCAGATGACGATGGCCGATTGCTGCGGAACCGATTTTTAAAGGTGTTTGACGAAACGGCCGGACGCCTTGAGTTACGTACGAGATTTTGTTTAGCCGAATTTCCATAGATTTCGTCAACCTCTTCGTTTTCAACCGATGCCGAAGATGTTTGCTGTTGTTGTGGCTTAGCAGCCGACGTTGATTCGACGACATGCGTCTTCTTTGGAATGTGCGGTGCTGCCGTTTTCAAAACACGTAACGAATGGGTTGGTGCAATTTTCGGCTTATTTCCATTGCCATTGCCATTGTAAATGTGCGAGGTACTTTGCAAAACTTGTGCATATTTACCGGAAATGTAAGTGCCAAGAACACTTGTTTCGTGTACAGTTGTTACACCTGAGACACACATACGAACAAATGAACAAATATTAATCCTTTTTCGAACACACACGCATACACTCGCAATGCCATGCATATTTTATATGATTATTTCCGATTATTTGCTATAGATCTTACCGTCTTTGTTGACAACCGTGCCACCCAATTTCGTAACCAAGCCGGTTGGATGAATGTCATCGCTACGTGGTGTTGCTACTTGCGATGGATGCACTTTTTTATTATGCTCTTGAACGGTACGTGATTTCAGATTGTATTTGGAATTTGGGATTTTGTTATTGGCTGGCAGACGATACGTTTCTTCAGTAAGTTCGCTCGGTTCACGTGACAAAAATTCATATTCCGGATCGTTAATGTTATTCTCGACTGGAGTTAGCTGATCCAAATCTTCGCTGGTGTGAATCTCAACGACTCTGCCGTGAAAAAGTGAATAAATTCATTTTGATTTAATTTACAAACGCACAAAGAACAGACAGTGCAATTTTACTATTATTTTCCTGCCTAGATACTAATAATGGTAATGAGTGCGAGTGGTGAATGAATGAAAATGCGTTGCGTTTCGTTCAAAGAGTAACGCAACAAAGAAGAGGAAAAAATGATGAAACAAAAGTGAAAAATATATTGAATTATCAACGCACGATTCGGATGGCGAAACACCGCCGACGACTTCCACGCGACTCGGCAAAATGGCTGAATATGCGGGTGAATTGGCGCCGCTGCCGTCGATCGCTTCCACATGTACAACCGATGATTTGGCGGGTGATTTTTTGCTTTCATCAATCACTTCAACATGACTGGACACAATTTGTACCTTTGACGATGGCGGCTTCGATGGTGCATTTTGCGATGGTGCGGCCAAATTAGCTGCTACAACACGAACAACACTTGACAATTGCTTCGTCGACTTGGCTACTGGTTTTGTAGGCTTAATTTCCTCCTTGGATTCGTCGGTCGTTTCAGTTACGGGCTTTGTCTCAATCACCGGCGTTGATGATGGTGGCACCTCTGTAATCGACATCGCTTTTGGTGGTACTGTTTTTTGACGGAGAAAAAGATGGGGAAATAAAAAATGATTTAAAATCTTTTCAAGTTGATTGATTGAACGACCAGAAGAATAGAGAAGAAGCAACCGACCGAAGAAAAAAAATGCCGGCATGAAATCAAGGAAAAAAGAAATAATTATCTTAAAGTTAGCAAGCAATTCAATTTCCTTTTTCATTAGCACGGCGAACAATTTAATTTGAGCACGAAATGAATACACATAGTGTGTACGCCGATGCACAATGACTCGGTCGGCTCTTCTCCTCCTGCTACTGCGACCGCTGCTGCTGCTGCTGTTAATGTTGCTCTTGTTTGCATTGCGCCATGGAAAAAAAGATCCTATTGCTCGTTTTTTCCCCGAAATTACTTTGTTGAAACTGCTTATTTTAATAGAGCCAAATAGAGTGGTTTTACAAGGAGTTGGGGTTTTTTCGGTTTCGTTTTTTTCATTCGAAACCTTTCTCCCATCGAGAGACAGAGAAGAGCGCATTCGGTATACTTGGGTATAATACAGTACACACACAAATCGACAAAACTCACCTGGTGGCGGAGCACTTTGCGGCGAAAATACCATTACCGTATTACCAATGGTCGTTGTAAAATCTAAAAATCCGTAAACAGTTTGCGTGACTAAATTGGATGGCGTTTGTGTTACGTGCTCGGCTGCTGTACAACAACACGCACTTCCTAGTGCTGTGTGAATGGGCCGTCGTCGTCGTCGTCGTCAGCACGTCAATATCAGGTGTAAGAGAAAGAAAGAGATGAATAAATAAGAACACAGAATGAGTGAGTGTGCACTGTGCACCGACGGAAATCAGATTGACTGAATGCAATTTAGTTTTTGTGCCCCCCCTCGCTTTGCTCCACTCTGTGTGTAAGGAATATTGTAAGCATATTTTGCAATGCAGATTTCGTCGACTAGATAAAATTGGATTAATTGCTTTTTGCTTTCATTTTGCTCCTTATTTATTTGCCGTTTGATTTTGCCTCGTTGATTATGCGAGCCAACATCAAACAACAAATCAGCGCAAAGCAAATGGAGCGCACACACACATACACGAAGCGAAAACAATTGTGATTTCGAAAGGGAGCGAGCGATTTTCCAACATTGCATTCATTCGATTCATCGTTCGGTTGCCTGGCTGGCCCAATCAACGGTCGACAGAAAATTCATATTATATGTATATAGAAAATAGAAAATTGCAAATAATTTTATTTACCTAATACTAAAGCTAGCGAGAAATGAACGCTTGTCGAACTCATCCTGTGTAATTGCACACACTTATCAATAAATTACGGCAAACAATTTGAAAGATGAACAAGCTGAACCTTTCAAATACAAAAACCGTTCGTTCACGTTCTAATCAAGGGATCAAATATTTGAATTTCCCTGTGTTCGTTCTGTTTGTTCAAAAACTCGATTCAATCGAAACAATTAATTATTTATGATTCGATTCCTTTCAATTCTGCAGATACAAATCGATGTGTCGACAAAATAGCTTGACTAAATGCGTTCTTGGAATCTTTTAAAGTACATTTCATCAGAAGATGATTTTCGCCAATGATTTCATTCTTTTTTCTGTTTCATGAGCTAGAGAGAAAAACATAAAAAAAATTATCAAAAAAAAACTTATCCATTTGAATGTCGAATATTCGGCATATGTCATGTGAAACAAACGGTGTGGTTCGCTTACATCTTTGGTGGAACAAGTTTTACGGCGCATAAACTGTTGTCGATTCAATCTATAAATGGAAAAAAAAATAGGAAAAAGAAATCGATTAATGAAATGACAAAGAAAGGGCGACCGAAAAAATTCAGTTCGTTTAAACGAATTGAACCTAAAAATACTCGATTTTTCTTTTAAATCGAAAAATGAATGTTGTATGGAAATTTTTGGATGCGAACAGGAGCATAAATTGAACCGTTTTAACGCATTTATTGTCATTTTTTCCTGTTAAATGTAGCAATACAATTTATTAGCATCCACAGACTGTAGACTACAGTCAATCATCTTTTTCCAAAGGAAAATTGAACGTGACGATAAATTGAATTTGCATTGGATTACATCATCCTTACCCTCGCCTCCAAATTTACATAAATTATTCATGAAACGAAAAATTATTCGTGTGCCATTTGATAAATTGACCGTCGAGAGCTGAACTACTGCGTGCTTTTTTGCAAATTGAACAGAGGTAGAGTGTGTGTGTGTGAGAGAGAGAGAGAGAGAGGGAGAGGTAGTGAGTTGTAGTTTCCCAAACATATCCAGTTAATGATATCAATTGAAAAATCGATAAATCCCTTGCAGCTTTTGGCTTTTTTCATTAGCAATAGTATACCCATTACTTTGCCGTGTGAATGCTTTGCATATTTTCTATTGATAATAATGGGTAGTTTTCAGGCGGATGCGTGTCTGTGTGTGTGTGTGTGTGTGTGTGTGCCATAGAGTCAAAAGCGTACATATCGCGCGCATGTATTGAAAAATAGTGTGGTGCCTACTTTCCGTTACCATTACAGATTATTCCAATCTATTCAGCAATCATAAAATAACGTTTGAACATATTTTTCACAACATTATTTAGCGAATGATTTCTGCATCAATTTTTGCCCATTGATTTTGTCGAAATATTTTTAAAATTCGTGCTATGACTTGTTGCTCGTTGCCAAAAAAAAAACATCCACATTAATACTAGGGGTTTCACGCAAACTCGAAGGCCGAAGATTTTACTAAATAGCTGGAAATAAAACCATTTTATGTGTAAACTATAGATATTGCTTCTTTTTATTCATAAACTCGAATTTTTTGAATCTAAAAAGTCTGGAAGTGGGTTTTGGTGGATCCTCGAGATTATTCAAAACCGCTCCTGGTTCTGGAAGTGGATCCTCAGGATGGACCAGGGCATTGTCAAACCCAGTCTGATCCATCCTGAAGATCCACCAAAACCAACTTCCAGAACATAATTTTCAAGGTGAATGTTGAAATATTTCGAAATAATACGAATTTTGGTGAATCCCAGAGAATGTGAGAGAAAAGAGAGAAATATTGAAATTTTAGATGAATTTTAAGTTGCGTGAAACCCCTAGCATTAATATCGTTGTTTTTGTTAATTTTGAATAAGAAAAAAAACAACCGAATGTCACCGAAAAAAAAAATGTTTATGTTTGACAAGGTAATGCGCTCGCGATTAAAATGAATTCTCCAGAAAATGAACACTAAACACGACATTCGGCTAATGGCTACATGTAACACACGGAATAAATATGGACAAATGTTGTTTGTTGGTGGGTGTTTTTCAGTAATTTCCACCAGATTGCTTGTTTGCCTTTTTTTTCCCTCAGTATTGTCCGCATGGTACAATGGTGTGGTCACCATCGAAAAATTAGCATACAAAACTTCCATAATTTATTGTGAAAACACGTAACAATTGTTTGTTTATTTGTGAAACAATTATGTTTTCTAATCAAATGAAATGGAAATGGCCAATGTGCATAAATCGATTCATACTCGTTTACTTTGTCACTGATGTATTATGCAACAATACAAAATCCCTTGTGCAAATCATCAGGAGCCGCTCTCGAGGTCGCAAATTCGCGCAAGCACCTAACGCCCGCGCTTTCACGCGCACTCACTTTTCTCACCTTCTCTAATTTCAAACATGCATCGTATGTGTGTGTGTGTGTGTGTGTGTGGTGCTGGCCTGAGGATGCAACGACCATTGCACTGCTACAACATTTACAAATCATTTGCATAATCGGCATATATTTAATTAACACGGAGGGGTGCGAGCGCACGCGTGCGCGCATCAAATAAAATTTACATCAATCGGGCTGCGATGATCGAACGAAATATTGAAGTTCGGTCACAAGTTACAGGAAATTGGCGTCGTTGATTTAACCACATCAGTTAGCTATTTTGCTTCTGTATTGACACTTCAAGTTCATTTGGTTCTGTATTATTTGGACATGCCGTCCAATTCCTTATCAGACACACCCCGAAATTGCGAAATTCGAAGAAAGTCCATTACTTTGTTGTTTTGAATTTGGCATTGGCGCTTCGAACATGAGAGTATGCACTGTACAGTGTACACTGTACAGGTCTCATGTGCACATATTATGGACAAACAGAATGGTAATAATGGACAGCCATTGTGCAATCCAATTAGCACACTAAAATCGATGCAACCATCGAGACCATCTGTATATAGATCTGATTTTATGTGTATGTGAGAGAGACGCTTATTCAAAATTAATAACATCAATGCAATAATGCTGTGCATTTGGGCAAAGCCATCACTCAAGTTGCAGCCTCTATACACAGGCAAATACACGAAATGACTTTTTTCAACAAGTAAAAGCACCGAAAATTTAATGGGCCACCACTTTGGCCTTTGCTCGACCTAATCAATAGATGAAAGGCGAAGTTAAAAATTGTTTCTTCGTACATTGAAGAACAGTTATGGCCAATACGAAGTAAATTTCCTTGAAAATGAATAAAGAAAACTTAAATGTTGAAGTTTGCATTTCCACAGCAAATTTTTATGTTAAAAATATTGAAATTCTTTTGGAAAAGCAATTAATATGAATATATTTGGTATGCTTACGTGTATAGGGGAGAAAGCGAGGAAGGATGAGAGGGAGGTGGTAATGTCGAGTAAATAGAAGTCGAGAGGTAAATTTCATAATTCTATCTCTTGAACTATTTTCATAAATATATGTATGTGTGTGCGCTTCGAAAATGGATGGCAAACTTTTTGAACATTTTGGGGCCAAGTCGTGCGTTGACACGAATTGTCGTGTATATGTAATTAAATTTTCTGTTATAGTGATATTATAAATTATGAGAACACATAAATCATGTAAACATGTGAACATAAATAGAAACGCGACGGCGATGGCAGCAGCGACAAACACATTACTGAAGTTTTCATATTTTGGCCAACATTTTCGTTTGAAATTATCATTTCCGAAACAGATTGAAAACAATGGAATGAGTAAATTGATGACTGTCGTAGTAGGTCAAATGAATGCATTGAACACGGTTTGCGCCTAAAATCTCTTCAATTCATACTTCATTGGTAGAGAACCCCGTTTCCCACCCATCATATTAAATATCAAAGATAGTTTCATTTTTCCCTCACAAAACTTCACATCAAACCGAAAGATGAAAAGCGATGAATGTGAAATACTATAATCGTTCAGATGTCGATGCTTGGATGTATATAGTTTTGAAAGCGAATGAAATGGAAGCCATTTGCCGCAATAATTTGGGTGAATTGAATTTGCGTTTCAACGACAATCGCACATGCATAAATGTTTAATGGGAACAAAGATAGGAGAGAGAGAGAGAGAGAGAGAATTGATTAATAGTTCAGCTGAGAGTTGATACAGATCTATAGTGTCGTCACGTTTGAAACATGATGACGTTTGCATATGTGCTGTCTCATAATTAAGAGTATTACTCACTTTTGTGAGTGTATGTTAGTGCGTTGCCAAGAAGGACTCAAAAACCCATGTTACAAAATTAATGATGTGTGAGGGCATGAAATGCAAAGTCTGAAGTGGCAACGGAGCCAAAACAGAGCTACTAGATATGAAAACCAATCATCATCATCATCATCATCATATCGAAGGAGTTCGTGTGTGTCCGAAGCAGCCAAATGAGAATCAAAATACGATTTCATTAGAATGTATTAATAAAGTTGCAAAAGGATAATTGTATGGAATTGGTTTTGATAACAGTGCATACGATACGATGTGCTTTGGATGTTTGCTATACAATGGCCGATAGTGATAGCGTTGGCATAAACACGTATCCATGATTATTTATTAACAATACATTTCGAACTTGAATTTGGCATGTACGGTATGTTTAGAGAGTTCGAAGCGTAATGAGTACGACGAATAGACAAAGACATAGGAGTTAGGGAGGGAGAGAGTGAGTGAGACCATACGAATATGCTAAAATACCATCCGAAGTATAAAATTTTCGTGGTTGAACACTTAGTTTTTATGATCGTTTTCGATGTTGTTCGCATTGAAATGCGCGCTTACGGACGCCCAGCCACCACACTGTTTGCAAGCATATTGTGACACAACTGAGTATGCAAATACAACGTGCTCTAACCGTCAATTTATTGATGGTCACATACACATCGTTTACCAGAGCATCAATTTCCTAGCATCGAAACTGCCGTCGCCTTCGTAGCGTTGTCGCCGCTTTTGCTGGTGCTGTTTTTACTGTTGCTTTTGTTGTGCCCCCGCACTTCAGCCGTACACATGCACACACCGTGCGCGCACTTAGGTGTTTGATTGGCAAATATTAGGGAAGAGAGCAGTTATTGCTTATTGTTCATTGCTTCGTTAAAATGTTTGTACAGGAACAACAGTTTAATTGTTGTTTGAAAATTATTTTTGGCTTCATCGCCCCAGAATACAGACACACACCACCATATCGTTTATACGAATTCTCAATGGAATCCCAGATATTATTGTGATGTTTGCAAAAACACACCATACCATCCCTTAGTGCACTCGAATCACAGCTCCGTATTGAGGCAATGTTGTAACAATGGTTACAGCCATAACAATGACACTAACCACTTTTAATTGGTTATGATATTCGATAATGTAAGCCAAAAATTACCTGGATATGAATTTGCATACCCGTACCTCATGCTCTGCCACATCGATACACATTTAGCATGTACTTGTTGTAAATGTTTCGACGATCAACGAATTCTCGACA